TATTGGTATATTTGGATTAATACCAACAATGTTTGTAACTATTTTCTATTTGTCACCAGAGGCTTATTTTCCTAACTTCTCTGGTTTTAGTTGAGCATTCTTTATTAGTAAACAATTATTCTTCTTTTAAAAAATTTTGGGGAATTCCCCGGTAGTCTAATGGTTAGGACTTGGCGCTTTTGCTGCCATGGTGCAGATTCAATCCCTGGTTGGGGGAACTAAGATCCCGCAAGCTGAGCAGTACGGCCAAATACAAGTGGTTTCCCTAGATTTTGCAATATACAATAATATTTCTGAAGTACATATATATCACAATATGGCAAAATATTAACATTTGAAGAAATTAAGTGAAGGATATATGAGTGTTTGTTGCTCAACTGTTTCTATTTTTATGTATGTTTGAAATTTTTCAAAATAAAAAGTTAAGTGCAGTTATCTGAGGCACCCTGATATTTTCCCTTCTTATAGCCAATTTGCTTTTTACCTTAATGCTTAAAGAACTCTTTATCTTTAAAGTTGAATAATTTAAATTGAATATTTCTAGTTGTAGAGTATCTCTTAGTAAATTTTCCTGGAATGCAATCTAGAGGCTCAATGTTTTCCCCCCCTTTATTACATCTTTTGGATTCTTCTGGCCCATTTTTGGTGTACTTTACATTTCGGACACCAGTTATCCTCATGTTGGATCATTTCTATCTTCTGTTTCTGTGGGCTTCTCTGTATTTACTTTACTTTCTTTCTTTTCTTTTTTCAACTGCATGTACTGTAATCATCTTAAACTTCTCTTTTAACTTAATTTTCAATCGTGTCTTTTCCATTTCTTGCTATTTGTACTTCAGTATACTAGTTCTGTAATGGTGGTGTTTGGACCCTCAATTTATATTTTTAAGTTTAATGCTCTCCTTACATCTTTTTCTTTTGTTTCTGTTTATTCTCTTTTCTACGAGGTCTTATTTTTAATTAATTAATATATATACAATTCATATGGATATAAAATTTCTTCCATTCGTTTAAATATGTATTCCTGTAGGTCATTTTCTTTATTCATATTTCTTTATTTTCTTTGCATGGTTTCTTCCTTCCTTGCCTGCCTTTCTCCCTTTTTCTTTCATTGTTAGATACCCTAAACCAATGTTCTGCTTTTCACAATTTCAAGCAATAGTCCATTGCTTTGAGGAATAGCTCAAACTTTGGATCATTTTCCAATGGGAAACTAGACGCAGTTAGAGAGAAAGCCATGGCCGAGAAGAGGGAAAAAAGAAAGACTATCCCTCAGGTGGTAATCTTCAGATTTCCTTCAATTCTCAGATATGTAGGTTCTCCAATATGATTTCCGGGGTGGTGGTGTTGTTAGGAGCCAGGCCATGCTCTGCTTCTCCTCTCTGCTCCAGAATCTTGTTTCCCTCCTTGACATCAGTTTTAAATGTTTATTACCTTACATTATCTCTCTTTCTTTGTCGACAGTTATTACTGGTTTTCTGGAAAACGTTTTTTTTTTTTTTAAAAAAAAACTTATTTGAGGTACATTTGTTAAGAAGTAAGGAAAGGAAAATCCATGGGACAATCTTAGTTCTCTTTTCTAACTTAAAAGTCTATTATCCTTACCTAGTCATATTTATATTCAAAAAGCAAGTTACAGGAAGAGAGAAACATTTTTTGAAGAAAAAAATGTCTGATGCTTTGAGCCGGATGTGATCTCAGAAGTGGTTCATTTCTCAAGTTCACAGAGCCAGTTAATGACTGAGCTGGGACTATGAAAAGGTCTCCTGATGGTTTTGTTTTGCATCTTCCTCTGTCTTACTACTGGGTGGAATTTTTAGATGAGAGAGAGAGAGGGAAGTTTTCATGCTGGGGACTTTCCTTTCCTGCCTCTAATCACATTACATGCCTCTGGGCCTTTGTTAAGAGCAGCCTTCTGGCACAGAAATTGCGGCTTGACTATAAAACTAAAAAATTATACATAAGATAAAGACTCAATAAAGTTAAGAAAGACCACTGGGGGAAAGGGTAACCTCTTTTTCTTTTTCCTCTCCTCTCTGGTTTAAAAAAACTCCCCTATAAATCATTTTAGGGTATGAAACATTGTAAAAGTGACAAGTTTTGATTTTCTGGGATGACTTCAGCTGCTATGACAGCTAATGAGAATTGAGAAATAGTCCCTGTGGGATCTGTATTACAAGTACATGCTTTGGATTTTAATTTTTTCATCTAGAAAATGGCTTTTAAAAACAAGGCAAAAGGGAATTCCCTGATGGTCCAGAGGTTTGGACTTGGTGCTTTCGTTGCCATGGCCTGGGTTCAATCCTTGGTTGGGGAACTAGGATCCTGCAAGCCACACAGGGCAGAAATAAATAAATAAATATAAATAAATAAATAAATAAAACAAGCTAAAGGAGAGTATTTTAATAGGTAAATGTAAAAACATAATCTGTCTGGATGTTATAACTCCCTAAAAGGTCAGACTTATCCTGCGTGATCAGTGAGGCATCTCAGAAAGGAAGACCCATCAGTGCTAGAGAGCTATGAACCTGTCCCAAAACTTATTGGACCCACTGGTCACTACTCATCGGTCAAAACCAGAGGAATAAATATTTCCCAAGTTGCCTAGAAATGCAGAGGCCTGTTGCTTAACGAGATCTTTGATCTCTAGTCTACAGTGACAGTTTAGGGACATCCAGAGGTTAAGCTCGACATTTAGCTGCAAGAGAAAGACAAAGAGAAGTACAAAAAGCATGAATAAAGTCTTTTCTGTCAAAGTCAATTGGGTATCAAAAACTTCAAATTTATAGGTAATCTAAAATTGCTCATGTTGTGATATATCATGAGGGAATTAAATGATGATGGAAGTCTATAGGTTCAGAAACACAAAACACGGGAGAAAATGACCCCTTTCTCCTGGGGAGGCAGCAGAGCATCATGGTAAAGAGGACAGTTCTGAGGTCAGGGATCCACTTTGCCATTTACTGATTTGGGCTTATAATTAAGTAATTAAGTTACTTAATTATAAGCCTCAGTTTCCTCATCTGTAAAGTGCAGATCATAATTTAAGTATTCATAAATTTATTACAAAGGTTAAACAGGATAATTTATGTAAAATGCCTGAATTAGAATAAGTACCCAATAAATGTTAATTGATGTTATTGTTATTACTATTTTTCTCTGAAGACTAGAGTTCACATTACTTTTGCTCCTATTTCTTGCAAGGAACAGTCCAGCAATTTCTTACATCTTGCTCTTTTCATTTTTTTCCCTCTTGGCATATGACTGTCCAGACATATGACTTCCCTTTCAACAGGAAAGGGAAGATAGGTGCAGGTCAGGACATTGCTATCCTGGAAGAAATAAATTATTGAGATTCCAAACACAAATAACTTTCTCTCAACCAACCATCTCAGCTTGAAAAAGAATGAAAAAAAAAATCTTCTTGACATGATGAAAGAGATGGAGATGAGAATGGATGAATATATAAAGGATTCAGAACTTGACAATATCAGTATCATAAGTAAAATCCTTCTCACAACACTATGGAAGTGAATAGTGAATTGTAGCAATGGTTCTGGAATTTTTCCAAGGAATTATATCAGCAATACAATCATTCCAATGCAGAATAGCTCTCTTTCCTACTTGTAATTTGGGCATGACAATGGAACATAGCTTCTCTGTGGAAAGAGATGGGATACCAATAAATTTTAATTCCCCGTAACATAATTTCTGTGAGGCAAGTTGTCTCCTTCACCTTGAATGAGTCATAACCTTAAAGAAGACAGGTTTTTGTTTTGTTTTTACTTCTCCCTGTCCCCTTTGTCTCATAAAAGCAGCTAGATTTTCCTGAGAAACTACCTGTGTCCTACTCTCAGACTTTGTGTTTTGGGTAGGGCTGTCCTGGCTTCCAGCTCCAGGCTACCTAGCGAATCAGACCATTTCACCCCTCCAAATTAGACTGATTGATTCAGAGTGGGCAGATGACCCAAGTCAGGCTGATGAGATTCCATCCTGGGGTTTTTGCTAGATCTCTTAGGAAAGCAAGAACTGCTAACCCATTGAGGTATAAGTCTGGAGGTACCAGAGGTCGCCATAGGGAAAAGGCCGCCTGAGAATGGAACCAATAGGGAGGAATGCATAACTGAGAGATGGAGATGGCTTCCTAATAGTATTCTTGAGTACCTGGGTTCAGCTGTAACTGAACACACACACACACACACACACACACACACACACACACACACTTTACAGTTTTATACGCCATATAAAGTCTTTTTCCTTGCTTAAGTCAGTTTGGATAGAGTTTCTGTCATTGCAACTGAAGAAGTCCTGCCAAGTAAACCAGTCCCAGAAGGAAATAAGAAGTAGGCAGTGATCCAACTGCTCATTTCTGTTTTTTTCCCACATTTCCCCCCTCTCGTCTTGTATTCAGTGCCTTTACGTTCTCTTCTTCTTGTTTATTTTCTCATGGGAAGTAATCTGATAATGTTTGTCCTTGATGCTGCAGGGTGAATTTCTGTTATTATGTTATTTTTCATAGAATGTTGACATTTTAAGCCTTACATTTAGTCCTACAATGAAAGGCTTTGTTCCTGCTAAAAGAATTTAGCTCTAAATAAGTAGGTCTGTTGCAATTAAAAGAGATTTAAGAAATGTATCAACCAAATAACAATGTGTAAATTATTGTTTGGATTCTAATTCAAACAAATCAACACTTACAGAGTGTCTGAATTCACTGATTTGAGGTACGGCTTAGACACTGGAATTTGTAAAAGCTGCCCTGGTGATTCTAATGTGTAGCCAACTTGGAGACCCAGTTTAAGCTCGCGATTTGATCCCCCGAGCGCTTGGCCCTGGCTGCTGGACTGTCAGGATTGGGTGACCGACTGAAATCACCCGTTACGGCACGGAGTAGGAGGGGCATTTGTCCCGGCAGCCTTTCGCGCCCAAGCCAACCCAGCCCCGCCTTTTCCCCGGTCCGGCCCCGCACCACTGCCCCGCCCCTGGCCCCGCTCAGCTGCAGCCCTGGGTAAACCTGGAAACGAAGGAGGCCCCTAAGCAGTGTTCCGCGAGCGCTGACGTGCGCTTGCGCGGTACCAAGACCCAGCGGGCAGTTTGAATTTCGCTCCCGGAGCTGGGTCTCGCCATCCTGGGCTTCCGGTGGAGACTGGAGGGGTCTTCTCGCCTCGCGACCGCACTGAGTGGGCCCTTTGCGCCTGGGTCCGCATAAGGTTGGAGTCTGGTGTTGAGGATCCCGCCTTCGGAAGCGGGCGGAAGGCATTGCTTGGGCGGGGTGGGGGGCTCGGGGCGGTGCCGTGTAGGGCGGAAGAGAGGGCTTGACTTTGCTTCGCTCGGTTAGCTGGGGTGGATGCTTTAGACCTCACCAACCCTCGGAGTGAATAGCACTTGTTTTCTTTCCTCCCTTCCCTCCACCTCCTTACCGACCCCAAATAGTAAAGCCCCAAACCCAACAGCATGGGAGAAATGCTTACCTGGACCCGTTTCTTTGAACTTACTGTGTTTTTCCTTAAAATTCTTGGGTCTTTGAGTTTTCAAAGAAAATACCAGTGTTGTTTTTATGTGTAAGTAAAAGCATCTGTCCCCTTAAATCTATAAGGAAATGACACAGGCTTATCCCCTGTACCCTGGTTTGGGATGCATTAACTACAGAAAGCTCTAAGACAAGTCAGTGCTGGACTTTGGACAGAAACCGAATTTTGTAGAATTGAAAGATATTTCTCTTGAGTTTTTGTACTTTCTTTTCAGGGAGATGTGACTTACTGGGTATTTGCCATTCTTGAATTTTGAAAGTGAATATAAATTTGTCTGGCTTCCCTTTTTTTATAAATGTATATCTTTTTCTTCAGAGGCTTAAAGGATGGCCTCCTCAGATCTGGAACAATTATGCTCTCATATTAATGAAAAGATTGGCAATATTAAAAAAACTCTGTCATTAAGAAATTGTGGTAAGTAAAACAGATTCTACTGACTTTGTACATACAAAATGCATTATGATTATTGTCCCACTTTGATATCTTATGCCTGGTTAAGTGAATGTATCTTAGAAAAGTAATTTTAAGTTTTGAATGGTGATTCTTAAAACAGTCTGCCCTCAGTATTTTGAATATTGCAGAGGATACTAAAATGTAAGTTACATTGAACAATGAACTAGCTATTAATTATATTTATTTACTTATGTTTTTCTGAGACGCACAAGGTAGAATAGTAAGATTTGAAGGTTATTTAATGTTCCTAGTTCTAGAGCTAAGTAGAGATACTAAAAGACAAGGAAAAACCAGAAGTGGAAAAGATCCACAGAGATAGAAGTAGCCCATAACCCATCTTGCAGACTGCTTTGGAGGAAGCTGATCAATATATATCACTAGGAAACAACTAATTGAAAATGAAGTTAATTTTTTAAACATCCAGAAACTTGTAAATTGTAACCATCTTCCAAGATATTTTGAAGTGCTGAAAGTGGATGATGCAATGGAAGTGCAGAGAAGTAGGAGATCCCTGTGAAGTCTGGAAAAATATTGTTTACAAAAATGATGTACTTTCTAGCCATATGTAGGAAAGCTAAAGATTTATTGATAGGTGGAATTCCATCTGCTGGGAAGATCCTGTTGAACTTTTATTGTAGTTTGTATTATGAATTGATAATTTAAAAAAATTCAAATATGAAATTATACTGTTGGAATGTCCTTTCAAATTATACATGTCCTTCTGAGACTTTGATATTTTCCATCTCTTGTTGGGAACCACTAATAAAGAGCCTCATCCATTTTACAGTTGGTGGCTGACATATTCTGTAGAAAGTTAAAGCTGAAGGGGCTGTGGGTTCATATTCTCAAGCCCCCTGGTCTCGCACATGAGGAAACTGAGGCTCAGAAGTCAGGTGACTTGCCCCGGTCCCCCAGCTTATGGGTAGTCAGTTGGAACTACAGGTTTTGTGTCCGATTCCCAGTGTAGTACTTGTCTACTTCTATGCCACTTTTATTGAATAATCTGAAAAAGGACATTTAGGTTTTTAATAAGTAGTCTTCTTTAGATTCTCTTTCTGAGGGCATGATTACTATTGGAAAAATATAATTTAGAGATCTGTTAACGATCAAACCTTGAATTCAAATGACCCCATCAAAGCATGAAGCCTGGATGAAGCAGTCTGACCTGTTAGATAACTACACACTGGGTAACCATCATTTGTACGTGGGGAGAACAATTTGTCTGTTTGGTTCCATGGCCTATTTAGGAAAGCCTAGTAATTTGTTTGCCACTTTGGCTGCTGTAATTTACTAGATCACTACTATCAAAAGTAGTGAATTTATTTTACTACAAATCAGCAAACAAGGCCCTAAAATTTAGGTGACGAAGTTATTTGAGATACCAGTATATCCAACTAGTTGTTTTACCCCCTGCAATTAATCTCAGCAGAGACATCAATACTCTAATTTACTGGTTAATTTCTTTTAGTTGTTACGAACCTACTGTCAAATGCAATTTGCATTGCTTTATTAGACTACGTCGATTAATAATAGTTTGCCTTTACTGAGTGCTTTACTAGGTTCCAAGCACAGTGCTCACCTATCTTATATGTACTTTCCTACTTCTCAGTAACCCTGTGAGGGCAGGTACTGGCGTCTCTGACTTCAGGCCTGGAGGCTTTAGCCATTTCACTCTACTGCATCCGTAATCTATAGATGTGGTCACAGGATGTTTTCAGTTATGTGTATTTCATGATTTGGTTGCTAGAAGTGAAGATGGAAAGATTTGATTGTGAGGATAGTTTTCCTTTTTGTGCTTTTGATCTGCCCTTAAAAATTCTTTTTTTTACTACTTCTCTTATTTCTAGGGCGGAGGGGACTCTGGTTTTCCCATCCTCGTATCTAGGAAGCTAGAGAGAGGGATTAGGAGGTGGGGTTGGGAATTTGAGAGCAGGCTACTCTCCCTCGCCTCCCACCCATTCTTGCAGGCCAGTCCAAACATAAGCTTATCTTCCTGGCCAGTGATTAGAATTTTTCAGGTTTACACATTCACTGAAGATATAGCCCATGAAGAGGGATCCTGGCCTCGTTAGGGATTCTCACTTTCAGCATCCCGTGCTTTGAAGTCCCAAAGCCTTGGCTCTTATCCCCATTAAAACCAAATATATTAGGTTGCTGAGAGCGACAGCCTCCTCTCTCCAGCATTCCTCTGTACCTCGTCCCCCGCCCCACCACCATTAGGGCGGCTGCAGCATCAGCTGACACGTACGGCCTGGTCTGTGGTTCGCTCTTCATGTGGAAGCCCTTGGTGATTTGCCTTTTTCTCATAAGAGCTCAACTATGCATGTAAAGGGGTGTGTATTTTATCTAGCATTTCTAGGTGTTTTATTAGTGGAACAGTTCTCCAGAAGCAAAAGATTCAGGGGAAACAGTGTAATTATCTCTCTCTTCCTTTTTTTTCATATTACTTAGAAATGAGTTCTTAAGATTCTCCATAGAGACAGTTCCTAGGGGCTGAAACAATAGTTCTTTCTCAACCCTCAGTGTCTCTTTAAGGGAGAGCTCTGTCCCAAGAGTTCAGTTGGATACATGTATGTTTTTTGCTTTTCTATACATTTTATTTTCCATTTTATCTTTGTTTATTAATAGGGCAAGAACCTACCTTGAAGACTATATTAAATAAAATAGGAGATGAGATCATTGTAGTAAATGAACTTCTAAATAAATTGGAATTGGAAATTCAGTATCAAGAACAAACCAACAGTTCACTCAAGGTAATGGTTTTCTAGTGAAAAAAACAAAATAAAAAGGCAATAGATACAGACTCCCTAATCACCAGGGAATTCTTAAGGATTCTTTAAGTTTATAATGTTCTTAGCTTTGTAAGTTATTATTAACGGTAAAGAGTGCCATTTGCATTTTATTTTCCCAGTATAAAGGACTCCAGAGTTCCAGATGTGTTTCTTCCTCCATGCTGGTAGCCGGTCTATTTACTAAAAAGGAATATTTCCTAAATAATTCTTTTTTTTTTTTTTTTTTTGGCTGTGTTCGGTCTTTGTTGTGGTGTGTGGGCTTTGTCTAGTTGCGGCAAGCAGGGGCTACTCTTCCTTGCAGTGCGCAGGCTTCTCATTGCGGTGGCTTCTCTTGTGGAGCACGGGCTCTAGGCGTGCGGGCTTCAGTAGTTGCAGCACGAGCACTCATTAGTTGCGGCACGCAGGTCCTAGAGCATGCGGACTTTAGTAGTTGCGACGCGTGGGCTCAGTAGTTATAGCGCATGGGCTTAGTTGCTCCGTGGCATGTGGGATCTTCCCAGACCAGAAATTGAACCCATGTCCCCTGCATTGGCAGGCAGATTCTCAACCACTGTGCCACCAGAGAAGTCTCTCCTAAATAATTCTTGGTAGGTTTAATTTAAATAAATGATCTCCTGGGAGTGTGGTGTAGGAGGAATGCCTGCCCTGGGGTTTGGAGATGTGGATTCTCACCCTGGCTCCCCGAAGCACCTTCTGCCACCCTGAGAAGGTCATTTTTCCTCTTGGGGTTTCAGTGTCCTCATTTGAAAAGTAATGGGTCATACTGAACTATTTCTTGGGTCCCTTCTATTCTACATTTCTCTATTTCTATAGAATATAGTATAAGGATTCCCAAGCAAAGAAAAACTTGAGCCTCATTCACACACACATTTTATTCTAAATAAGCCTTCACCTAATCCAAGTGCTAGTGTACTTTCTGATGGGATGGGAAAATATTCAATCTGTACCATAATTACCTCATGCTCTTAGAGCCATTGATATGGTCAAGGTGGCCTCTCTGGTCCTTTTTAAGTCTTACAATCTTCAATGTCTGTAAAGATTTTTCAGCTCTGGGACTGGGCATGATTGTGCCTATCCTACTATCAGTTTAAATGAAATTAGTATCTCTGAACATCATTCATCTCTTTAAAAGAAAGATGTTATACAAATTCAAAACAGAAACCAATAATGGTTTCACCTCTACGCTGCCCAAGAATGCCCACGGTTAGGTGTGGGTTTCGAGAATGTTCAACTCAGGATTAAAGACTATTTGGAATTTTTGTTTACATTATGATTGAAAATCAGATGACGGGAATCCGAAGGTACAGAGTATTTTTCTTATTAAATTTGCGTGAGTTCATAACCTCAAGTTCTAGAGAAAGTTAAATAAAGACAACACAAAATGAAAGTGGTTATGATCAAGTAGGAATTTTCATTAAGCTGGAATATATGAAAGCCGTTCCAAGCAGTATCTCATCGTTGCATTCTGGGAATGCATTATCACTCCGGTGCTGGGGAACGTTTGCTAAGTCAACAAAAGCACTTTACCAGAATGAGAAACATAAATCTTTCATATACTTTTCAGTTGCTTCCCAAGGTTAAAGTATTTTAGAAAGACATGAATGTCAACCCTGCCTGTTGTAATGTTATTCTAACAATTATCCTCTGAAAAAATCCAGTAGAGAAAAATAATATATCGCCATCCAAAATCAGCTCGAGAACCAAAGGGCTCTTTTTAAATATTGCTGTATTCAGTGCTTTTTCACCGCTCTGCGTTTTGAATACTCAGAATCATTGTGATTGTGGTACATAGTCTTTCATGCTCTTTTTTTAAATAATTAATTAATTAATTAATTTGGCTGCGCTGGGTCTTAGTTGCAGCATGCAGGATCTTCGTTGCCTCACGCGGGATCTTTGTTGCGGCATGCGGGCTCTTAGTTGCGGCATGTGGGATCTAGTTCCCTGACCAGGGATCGCATCTGGGCCCCCTACATTGGGAGTGCAGAGTCTTTACCACTGGACCACCAGGGAAGCCCCTTTCACGTTCTATCTGACATGTTAAAACACACACAGGCAGGACAGGTGCTTATTTGTGAGCTTTTTCTTTTTTTATTTTAGGAACTCTTTGAATGTCTTGAAGAAGATTATAAAGATGTGGAACATCTCAAAGAAAACATTCCTCCCCATTTGCCTCAAGTAACAGTAACCCAGAACTTGTAAGTATGTTTATAATTATGTTTACTATCTGGTTTTATCAAACTATTAAAACAAACACTTCAAATCTTTTTGCTTTTCTATATACTTGCAATTTTGTTAGTGATTATCCAGGGTTTTGTTTTGTTTTGTTTTGTTACTTATACAAGAAATAGTCTTTCCCCCATCTTTACCAGTTTTCTTATCCCACAGTCTCTGGGAAATATGTCCCCCCTCTTTCCCAAGGGTAAGTCTCCTCTAGACTGTCTTTTTCTACTTTTTCTCATTTCTTTCCCTTAGAGCAGAGTTTGTCAACCTTGGCTCTATTGGCATTTTAGGTCAGATAATTCTTTTTTGTGAAAATAGCATGTTTAGTAGCATCCCTGCCCTCTTCCAACTAAATATCAGTAGCCTCCTGTATCCCCTCCCACCTCCACCCCTCCACCCAGTTGTGACGATGAAAAATGTTGCCAGACATTGCCGTATGTCTTCTGCGGGGCAGAATTTCCCCTGACCCTTGAGAACCACTGCCTTAGGGTAAAACTAAATTTAATGAGCTTCCCACCTTAAAAACAGCTCAAGGAACAAAAACTTAGCTCTGTTTTTACCCTCAAAGTACTGTCCTACCTCTGTCTGTTCACTGCCAGGGTATGTTCGTGCCTGCCCTTTTCCTGAAGCCCCTAAAACCTAGCTTTGGCTGTTAATTACTACCATACTTATGAAAATGATTGCTTGAAGGTCACAAAGAGGTAAAAAATACCTCTTCTGCCCTGATTCTTCTCACATTTTATTTTGCTGCCCATCTTTTTGAAATTCTGTTATTTGCACTGCCACTGTGCTTTCTTAGTTGTCATCCTACATCTTCGACTAGGCTGCCTCCTTTTTCTCTGCCCTCTTTTAAATTACAAGTGTGTCCTAAAGCTCTGTTTTACTCACGCTTAAACTTAACACCATTATTAATGCTCTCAAATGTCCAACTCTGGCCTTGACATGGCATCTAGTTCTGTTTTAATCGCTTGCTGGGAATCTCATGAATGAGCTGTTCTCTCCTCCAGCTTTGCGTGTCTAAGACAAAACTGTCTCCTTGTTACCCACCCATCACCTAGACAGGAACTCGGCATCTTCAACCTGTCTCTCTGTCTCGTAGCCCCAGCCGTCCATTCGGCCTCTGCGGGGTTTTGTCTGTCCCTGCCCTCCCTCTGATTGTCTGGCTCCACGAGATCTTCCGTCATCTTTTGTCTTCATGATTGGGGAGCTCCTGTGTTTTGTCTTTCCAGTATTTCTCCACTCCCATCTCTCCAGTCCTCTGCCCAAAATTGTATTTCTTTTTTTCTTTAACTTTATTGAAGTATAGTTGATTTACAAAATTGTATTTCTAAAAGGGGGCTCCAAGTATGTAAAAACATTCCATGGCTAACTTAACTTTTTAACTTTCGAATGTATCATATATACAGAAAAGTAATTAAAGTAATTAGTGTAAATTAAAGTATTAGTGTAAATCAAAGAAGCATGATAAACATCAGCGTATCCACCAGTCAGATTAAGAAATAGGACCCTCCAGTACCTACAGCACTTTTTCTATTGCAGACCCTCCCTCTATCAAAGAGGTAATCATCCTGGAGTTTATGATAATCACAGTTTTGCGTATGTGTTTCCACAAACAACATACTGCTTAAGTTTGAAAACTGAAAGGAAGGCACGAACCTTGCTGTGTAGTAAAAGAGCCATGTTGCTGCAGGAACAGATAAGCTCAACAGAGTCCCTTGTATGTCAGGGTACCTTGGAATTTCACTCCAAGAAGAGAAAATTAGTGGGCAAGGTCATGAATAAATGCTAGGAACAGAGGTCATCATAGGATATCTGCCAGGGTTGTTGGGCTGGACATTGGCTACCCAGCAGGAATATGGCCCGAGGAATAGGAGGAATTTTATTCTAAACTCACTATGGCCTAGCGTCAGCTTTTAGGGCCAGGCCACAGCAGAACCTTTCTATAGGTAGAAATGGTTATTTTCAGTTGATACACACAGCAGGGCCTAAAGATAAGCAAGTACAGGTAAGAATCAGCCAGGCTTACCGTGGAGTCTCAGGTTAGGATTCATGTAAGGATCATGCTACCATAATATCGGGCATCTTCATCTTGACAACCCACCACGTGGCCGTATCCTCATCACACCACCTCAGTCAGGCCTGGTGGCCCTCTGTGTCTGGTACTCAGCTGTCGTCTTGGGATGTCACCTCCCTGTCTTTCCTGGGATTCCCTTCCCTTGCTCCTGGGTTGGATCTTCTCTTTCCTGTATTCCATCTCCATTTATCGCTTGACTTGCTGCTGGCAACAGGGCTCCATTCCTTCCTTGGCAGTTAAACAACCTAGAAGATACAGCCTACTTGTAGACTCTATTTGCTTGTGGGTAGGAGCTATATTGGGCTTCTCATTGACTCCAGAAATTGGGCAGGACTGAGCCAAGGGTGACCCATGCTCATTGCTGGCAACTAAAATGAGTCTATAGCAGGCAGGATTGATATAGCAAGTCCTTACTTACGAACCTTCAAGTTGCAAACTTTCAAAGATGTGAAATGCTTTCGCATGTCCAATCATGTTAGTTAGTTCATGTGTCTGGCGTACATTGCCACATGAGTGCATTGTCACATGCGTGCATTGTCACATGCGTGCGTCCTCTACAAGTGGCTGTGCTTTTGTGTACTTTGCTGTACAGTATTGTATAGAGTGCAGAAGTGCAGTATCTTGATTTCAAGCCCGGGATGTCCAGAAACAAGAGTAAAAGCAGCAGTGATGTAGCTGGTACTGCTAAGAAGCGCCAGCTGTTGTACTGTACGACCGTACTTTGCAAGGTTCTGTCCTGTAAGATTAAAAATGTTGTCTTTATTTTTTGTGTGTGTTTTTTAGGTATTATTTGTGTGAAAAGTATATAAACCTATTACAGCCCAGTACTACATAGCTGATTGTGTTAGTTGGGTACCTAGGCTAACTTGTTGGACTTAGGAACAAATTGGACTTAGGAACGCACTCTTGAAACGAAACTCATCTGTATGTAGGGGACTTACTGTACTAGCAACCAATGGGATAAATTCGAAAGATAGAAATATAAGGTGATTGATGTTTCCATGTCCAGAAATAGGGAAGTCAGGAAGAAAAGCCATTTAGAAGTTAAATTCAACTTTACGCACATTGACTTTGAGGAACCAGTGGGGTAACTGATGAAGATGTTTGGCGCATGTTCTACTTACACCATGTTTTGAGTGTGTAAACAACAATTATATTACTGAAGATTTAGGGACTTGCTTTTTTAACATTCTCACTATTCAGATCTTCATGAGCATTAGGGGTAGGGATAGAAAAAAAAGGTGGGCTATAAACTTATAACAAGATGAATCATGTGTTTGATACTGATCATTTTCAGTTGCAAAACTTTCTGGTATGCTGCAGAATTCTGACGATTACCTGTACATCTGTGCATCTCTATTTTGTAGTGTTAATGGATCAGATCTTGACCCTGAAGAACCTGTCAAAGTTGAAGAAGCTGCACCCACAAAGAAGCCCTCCAAAGAACAAAAGCATGTTAAAGAAATGCCATTTGTAACTTCTGATGAGTTTAATGGCATTCCTGCGTAAGTATTTAAGATAAATTTTAAGATAAATTCAACTCTTTAATAATCAACATACATGTTGATAAGTATAAGCCTTGATTATATTAATTGTAACATGCTGTGTTCCAACATCGATCTTTTCTAAAATAGTTTTACATTGTACTGTGAAAATGCAGGAAATCTTTTGCTGAAGATGTTTAAAACTATGTTTTTTGGGATTCCCTGGTGGCGCAGTGGTTGAGAGTCTGCCTGCCGATGCAGGGGACACGGGTTCGTGCCCTGGTCTGGGAAGATCCCACATGCCGTGGAGCGGCTGGGCCCGTGAGCCATGGCCGCTGAGCCTGTGCGTCCGGAGCCTGTGCTCCACAATGGGAGAGGCCACACAGTGAGAGGCCCGTGTACTGCAAAAAAAAAAACAAACAAAAAAAACTATGTTTTTTGTTTAGTTGTAAAACCTTTTCATAGAGAGATCTAGAGATGGATCAATTTGTTGTTGAGTCCTCTCAGGGTCATTTTATGATACAGATTTATCCATTTACATTTCGGAAGTAGCTTCAGTTTTGCTGCAATTTTAAGGAAAGTGAGTGTGTTGTATAGGTTTGAGAATTAGAACAGAGAGTGCTGTGTTTGTTTGGTTTCCATTTGTCCATTAATTTATGCCACACACTTGGTTGAGTCTGTGCTGAGGAAAAGAATACAGGGTGAATAAGACAAGATGCCTCCCCTGAGAGAGGGCTCCTTTGCTCTTCACAGATGACATGGGGAACCAATTATGGAAATCCGTGTTTTTAAACTCTCATAATTCCAGGGCTTTACTTAACTTCTGGCTTTATATTATTACATTTCTTTTTACTTTCTTATACAAATAATGCACGTTGTTAGAAAATGTTTGTTGTTAGAAGATAACTCATCTGTAATTCCACCACTCAGATAAGAGAGAGTATTTCCTTCTGTATTTTAACTTCACCTACATAACAAGTTGTTTCTGATTGTCATTACAACAATGTAGTTATTCTGTGAATATAGTTTACTTACTTTTTTTTATCATGAGCATTTTTCCATCACTAACTATCATGGAAAACTTGGATTTTAATAGTTATATAATATTTTATTGTGTGGCTACTCTATAAGTTATTTAAGCATGACCTTATTAAGTATTTGGGTTGATTGCATTGTTATGAAGAATGGTGCAATGAAGTTTCTTTTGGACAAGTCTATTTTATAATTCCTTATTTCCTTGAGATAGTGTCCTAGGAGGAGAATCCCTGGGGCAAAGGGCATGATTATTTTACTTGTCTGAGAGTTGTCCATCTGGATTTTGTTGTTTGTTTTTTAATTAATAGACTTTATTTGTTAGAACAGTTTTAGGTTTATAGAAAAATGAGCAGATAGTACATTGTTCTCATACCTGAAAACAGTTTCCCCTATTACTAACATCTTGCATTAGTGTGGTACATTTGTTACCATTGATAAACCAGTCTAGATACTATTAACTAGATATTAACTAAAGTCTGTAGTTTATATTGGGGTTCACTCTTTGTTGTACAGTCTATGGATTTTGACAAATGCGTAATGTCATGTGTCCATCATGATAAGAATAGTTTCACTGCCCTAAAAATACCCTGTATGCCACCCTTTCATCTCTCCCCCCTGAGACCCTGGCAGCCACTGATCTTTTTACTGTCTCTATAGTTTCCCTTTTCCTGGGTGTCATATAGTTGGAGTCATACACTGTAGCCTTAGTAATATGCATTTAAGGTTCCCCTCATGTCTTTTCATGGCCTGATAGCTCATTTCTTTTTATCACTGACTAATATTACATCGTGTAGATGTTGCACAGTTTGTTTATTCATTCATCTGTTGAACAACATTTTGGTTACTTCCAGTTTGGGGCAATTATGACTAAAGCTGCTGTGAACATTCACGTGCAGGTTTTTGTGTGGCCATGTTTTCAGCTCACTTGGGTCAGCACCTAGGAGTATGATGGCTGGATCCTATGGTAAAACTGTTCAGCTTTGTAAGAAGCTGTCAAACTGTCTCCCATAGTGGCTGTACCATTTTGCATTCCCAGCAGAATGAGAGTTCCTGTTGTTCCCCATACTCACCTGCATTTAGTTTTGTCAGTCTTTTCTATTAGCTATTCTAGTAAGTACAATGTACCTGATTGCTTTACTTTTCAGTTTCCTGATGACATAGGATGTTGACCATCTCTTCATATGCATAGCAGCCACTTGAAAAGTATCTGGCAGTTTCACTGTTTTGAGACTAGGAATGAGGCTGACAATTCTCTTTAGTTTTTTGGTTTGTTTGTTTGATTTGGTCACTTGGTCCTTTCCTTTATTGACAGCTTAATTGTCACTAAAATTCTGTTTGATGCTATTCGGTTTTTTAAATTGTCGTTGTTATTGTTGCTCATCGGCTGAGCTAAAGGGAAGAACAAATGGCTGTGAGAACATTGGAATAGAAGGGTCTTCAGAAAATGCTTCCTTGAGGGGAGGATATTAGAATAGTCACGGTAGAGTATTCATTTTTTTTTTTTTTTTTGCCGTACGCGGGCCTCTCACTGTTGTGGCCTCTCCCGTTGCGGAGCACAGGCTCCGGACGCACAGGCTCAGCGGCCATGGCCCACAGGCCCAGCCGCTGTGCGGCACGTGGGATCCTCCTGGACCAGGGCACGAACCCGCGTCCCCTGCATTGGCAGGCAGACTCCCAACCACTGCGCTACCAGGGAAGCCCTAGAGTATTCATTTTTAAACTAAGGAGTTATTTAACGAATGAGAGAAGTTAGAAGATTAGGATAAGGAAGAATGTGTTCCAAGCATAGGACTTTGTCTTTAAAAAGTTAATACTGAGATGGAATTAAAGTGGAAAACATTGGCACTTGTTTTGAGGAAATTAGGAAATAGTTCACATGATTTAAAGGAATTGCATTGTGTTGAGCTGTGGCATCAACCGTGGAAATTGTGGTTAGAAAAATGAGTGGTGAAAATGAAGTCTAGAAAGGAAGGGAATAATGAAAATGAATGGGTTTTGGTCAATATGAATATTTTCCTTTAAACATATTTATATATTATTTTATCTTAAGGAAGTTTCGATTAGAAAACTGCCCCTTTGAATAGAGGCAAAGGACAGAGTTTAACATAATGAATCCATGATTTGTTGAAGGGAAAAATTGAAGCAGATCATGAAAATTTTGTTTTTGGTCTGTACAGACCACTCAGAATCAAGGGTCTCCTATTCTTATATTCTAAGACCCTGGTGATTGGGAGGACGGGCAGGAGGGAGATTGGATTGGAAGAGTGGGCTTTAGAGTGAAAGAGACAATGCTTAAGGGCATTTGAGTTCAGAATGAATAGTGAGCTGTCCGTCGAGGCTGCCTGTAGTTCTCCTCTGCCGGCCAGCTGTGCAGCTTAACTTCCGGGCCCTTTTGTCCCTTTGCAGCCCCTGCACCATCAGTTCTTCTTCGTCTCAATCAGCATGGTCATCTTTGTTGTCACATTTGTCATCCTTCATCTTCTCTTCCCTCTCTTCCTCTCTCTGAACAGATCCATTTTTGCAGGAAACTAGAGTGGTATGAGTTATATAATTTATTAATAATTAAATTTTTCTTTCCCTTGCTCACAAACATTTAAAAATATGTAAATAAACTTCTATTTGCAATTAATCAGTCTATTTGAATCAGAGTTTGAAAGCCTATTTTAAATTGTAATGTTAATTCTGTAGGTGGAGAATAGGAATTTATGTATCCAGACATAACTAGGGAAGATAAGCACTAATATATTGTGGTCTCTAATTTTTCAAAAGTTGAGATGTGTCTGGTTTATTTGGAAGTTGGTATAAAATTTTTTATATAGAGTACTAATAGCTTTGCTACTGTATAAAGTCATCATATGTAAATGTTTTGCAAAGAAAACAATTGTGTATGATGATTCTTTAGAAAAATTAATCATTTTCTTTTTTACAGGTACATGAAATCACGCTTAACCTATTGTCAAATTAATGATGTTATTAAAGAAATCAACAAGGCAGTAGTTAGTAAATATAAGATCTTACATCAACCAAAAAAGTCTATGAGTTCTGTGGCCAGAAATCTCTATCACAGATTTATTGATGAAGAAACGAAGGAAACCAAAGGTAAAATGAGGGTATATATATATGTGTACATGTCAACTGTTTGGAATGTAACTAAACATGAGAAACAAGATTAATTCCAGAAACTTCTAACTCTAGAAAGGTAGTTCTCAATCAGGGGCAGTTTTCCCACCAGGGAACATTTGGCCATCTCTGGAGACATTTTTGGTTGTTATAGCTGGGGTTGGAGGTGCTACTGGCATCTAGTGAGCAGAAACCAGAGATGCTGCTAAAGTACCCTATAATGCGCAAGACAGCCCTGACAAAATGAATTATCAGCCTAAAATGTCTGTAGTGCCGAGGCTGAGAAATATGGCATTAAAGCCTATTATGGAATGATATCCAATATTTTCAGAATTAGAATAGTAATGATAACAGTTGTTCATGCTTATACTATAGCACTTACTAGGTGCCAGATAGTGTACTAAGGGCTTTAGTCCTCACAGCATCCTTATGAGTTGTGTACTATTATTATTCCTGTTTTTCAGAGTAGGCAAAGAAGGCTTAAGTTACTTGCCCAAGGTCATTCAGTTAAGTGATAAAACTGCTGTGGGTTTCATTCTCTTAACCACTACCGTATGGCGTCTTGAAAAGTGAATTGTTCAGAAGATACCAGCAGATAGCCAGTGATATAATAAGCAGGGCTACGTTTCTGAAATGCTACAGTAAACATTATGCAACTTCAGTTTAAAGAATAATTATTATTTTAGCAAGAATACCAGTTCTCACTGTGCTTGGATAATGATAGGAAAAAGTGATTAGTGCCATTCATAGTCATAATGTAATACATTAAAGACTCATCTTGAAAGTTGTCCTAATAAAAATTAGCATTAATATCTTTATTTTCAGGCCATTATTTTGTAGTGGAAGCTGACATAAAGGAGTTCACAGCTTTGAAAGTTGACAAGAGATTTCACGTGATACTGAATATTTTACGACACTGCCGGAGGCTATCAGAGGTCCGAGGGGGAGGACTTACCCGATATGTTATAACATGAGCTTTTGAACCAGCCAACAGTAGGGTATAGAGGCTATTCCTATAGTTTCCTTATATGTAATTTCTTTATATATAATTTCTTTAGCCGTTTCATTTTCTTTGTTTCTTGTAAAAATAAAACTTAAAAATAAATAAAGCATGTATATTTTAAAATCTACTTCCTTACAGTAAATATTTAATCACCTACCATGTGAGCCTCTGTTCTAGGCATAAAAATGTTCATATTTAGTTTTTGTGCTTAGTGACAGTGCTGCTGACCCCAGTAAGACGGTTGCAAATGTGATAATAAAAGTCAAAGTTCAAGAAGATAAGATCAAGGATATCCAGCCTCTTTGGAATTAAAGGTCATTAGTGTCTAAATTCCACTAATGATATTTCAGTCTATAGGCAAAAGTTGGGTTTGGAGGCAGCCCATCCACGTGGTTATTCTGCTTTCCCATGTGTGGTTAAGGAACAGCTTACCTGAAATGCATTCAGTGTAAGTCAGTCTGTAAGCATTGGCCTGTAATGAAATTGTAATAGAAGTATTTTGAGATGAAAAAGATGATAAAATAAGACGTGTAAGGTCATGGAAAATGAGTGGTTGGATGGTAAGAATTTAATGGAGTTTCCCTTGCGCACTTAGGGAGGTTGTTAGTCTATCTATGTCTTAGTGAGCGTTCTCCAGAGAAACAGAACCAAAAGGCTATCTATCTATCTATCTCTATCTCTATATCTATCATCTATCTATCTTTCTATCTATCTATCGTCTATCTATTGACTATCTCTTCTATATCTATCTATCTATCTATCTATCTATCTCTCCTATCTCCCCAATCTATCTCTCTATCCATTCTATCTATCTATCTATCTACCTTTCTATCTACCTATCTATCTATGGAGATTCATTATGAGGGATTGGCACATGTGATCATGGAGGCTGAGAGGCCCTCAGGTCTGCTGTCCACAAGCTTATGGATTATGGAGGCCCAGGAAAGCTGGTGGTGTGATTCAGTCTGAGTGTGAAGGCCTGAGAACCAGGGGAGCCAGGCCAGAGCAGATGAGACGAGATGTTACAGCTGAGCAGTGAGGCAGGAAAAAAGAGCAAATTCCTCCTTCCTTCCTCCACCTTTTGTTCTGTTCACGTCGTGGATGGATGGGAGGATGCCCACCCACACAGGGGAGGGTAGTCTGTTTCACTGAGTCCACTGATTCCAATGCTCATGATTTGGTTTAGCTGTATCATCTGGTTTGTAGGAAACACAAGGAATAGAGAAAAAAGTTAAATGTTTTCATGAAGAAGCAATCAGACAAATCCAGATATGACATAAGTAAGGTGGTGTCTTAAACACAAGTCAGTAACAGAAAAGAATAAAGGGCTCCTGTTCTAGATTAAAAGACGAAGAGCTTAGTCAAATATAAACCGTGAACCTTGATTCCGTTTGAAAAAAAGATTGAGGGACAATTATAGAAATTTTAATATAGGTTGTGTATTAGATGCTGTGAGAGAACTAGTATCCGTTTTCTTAGTTATGATAATAGTCATGGTTATGAAGGAGAGTATCCTTATTTTCTGCAGGTGCATCTGAGGTATTTATTTAGGGATAAAACAGTATGCTTTAAAATGGCTAAGCAATATAATTGGATACATACATACACACATAGAGCGGATATGGTCAAGTGTTCATTGTTTGATCTAGCTGATGGTTAGAACGGCATTCGTTGTATTATTCTCTCTCATTTTATGTGTTAACATTTTTTTCCTAATAAAATTTAGAATACTTGTGAAACAAATGTACTGAGTAGATATTTACATTTCATGAAAACACAGATCAGAACTTGCGGGCTGGTGACGTGAAGCTGGGAAGGAAGGATTGTGAGCCATCAGTCATGAGCTCATGTGCCCCTTCAGGCACTTGTGAACTTCAAGTTCCTGTATCCATGCTTCCCAGCACTGCTCACTGAGCCCAAGCTGGGTGTTTGAACTTGATGCGTTAGATGAAATTTCTTGAATTATGCTGGATGTAAATATTATTATGTTTACACACAAAGCAATGTATTGGGCATCTAACTTCTGCACTGAGTAATAATGATACACAGTGTACAAAGCTTGATATCTGGGCAATGTGTCACTTTTAGTGAACCATGTTTTCAAATAAGCTTAGGCAGGACATGTGCTCTGCTGGTGATGAACATGGACAGATGTTCATTTCTAATGCAGGTTTAACTCGATGAACCTACTTGCCTGTCTTTTTAACAACTGTAGTGCAATTTCAGACTCATATTTTAAATTGAGGATCAAAGCAGCAACTTACAAAGCTCAAGTAATTAAAATTCCCTTCCTCTGATGGGTCAACATGACAAATGTGGACACTTCTAATTACAAAAGTTTTCTTGGCAGAGTGATTGTGAGCTGTGCCTCAGCTGTATACTAAAAATTACAACTCTAATCCTTAATCGTGACTCAGAAATCAGATTATTTCTTGGGGATACTCTCTTTAACTTTACCAAATAATTCAGCAACATGGTGCATCAAAAAGAAAACTTAAGCCTCAGAAACCTGGTTCTAGTCCTACCTCTGCCATTTGCTCTCTCTTGGTTCTACCTTCAAAAATTTGACCCCTTCTCAGGGACTTCCCTGGTAATGCAGTGGTTAAGAATCTGCCTGCCAATGCAGGGGACACGGGTTTGAGCCCTGGTCCGGGAAGATTCCATGTGCTGCGGAGCAGCTAAGCCCGTGCGCCACAACTACTGAGCCTGCACTCTAGAGCCTGCAAGCCACAACTACTGAGCCTGCATACCACAACTACCGAAGTCTGCATGCCTAGAGCCCGTGCTCTGCAACAAGAGAAGCCACTGCAATGAGAAGCCCGCGCGCAGCAACGAAGACCCAATGCAGCCATAAAAAAATAAATAAATAAATGATATAACCATTCTTCAAAAAAAAAAAAAATTGACCCCGTCTCACAAGCTACCACCCTGGTTCCAAACATCTCCCCTGGATTAATTCAAAGCTTCCTAACTGGTCTCTGTGTCAGTTCTTGCCCTACTGCTGTCTATTCTCCACATGAACCAAAGTTAGATTAGGTCATTCCGCTACTCAGAAACCTTAAGTAGCTCCCCATTTCTTACAGAGCGAAGGTTGAATCCTCACAAAAGCCCATGAGGCCCTTCATGGGTCCCTCGTCAGCACAGTGGCACCGTCTCCTACTCGTCCATTTCCCAACTCTGTTCCAGCCACTCTGGCCGCCATGCTCTTTCTGGAACAGGCCCAGCATGAGTCTCCCCAGACCTTTGCACTGGCTGTTGCCTCTGCCCGGAAAGTTCCTCATCCTTCACCCATGTGACCCTCCCCCTTACCTCTTTTATATCTGCTCAAATGTCATTTGATCCCTTAGGGCTTCTTGGACTACCTTACATTTATATTTACATCTCCCTCTGCAACATTTTCTCTCCTTCCCTGCTTTATTTTCCTTCCTAGCACGAATGTCTATCTCACGGTTTATATATTTTACCAATTTATTTGTCTTTCTCTTCCCACTAGAATATAAACTACAGAAACTAGGAGTTTTTGTCCCTTTTATTCACTGTGGTGTCCTCAGCCACTTTCACAGGGCTTTCCAGTAGAGGGCGCTAAATAAACATTTCCTGAACACGCTAACTGGCACAGTTTGTGGCCATGGGCAAGTGATTTCATCTTTCCAGGCTCCAGTTTTCTCCTGTATACATTGAGATGGTTGAACAAAAATTTCTCTCAGGACCTTCTAGTTTTAATATTCTATGGTTCTAATATTCCCAGTTACTTCTGGGAAATACACTTATGATGAAATCCTTCTCTCTGACAGGATTACAAAAAATTGTAAAAAAAAAAAATTCTGATAAGTACATGGAACGCTCATCTTTTACCCAAAGAATCTGTAAAGTATTAAGCTTCAAGAAATGCTGAAATTCTAAGTTACTAGTTAAATAATAAAAAGAAGCTTCCATTGACTAAGGAAATTTATTAAAAGTTTTTCGGCCAACATCTTTAGTTTTCTAATTAATTTTGCTTATTAGAAATAGTTTTAAGATTTCACGATTTATAAATGTTACGCTTGATCATAATGGAAACTTCTGTGGTATGTTGAATAGACCTATATGTTATAGAACGCAGTTTTGCTTCATAATATTAAAATTTTTTTTAAAGTTTTCTCCCTTTTTAATTTTTTTTTTGGCCATACCATGTGACTTGTGGGATCTTATTTCCCCAACCAGGGATGGAACCCAGGCCAACTGCAGTGGAAGTGCAGAGTCCTAACCACTGGACCACCAGGGAATTCCCAAATGATTTCTTTTATGAAACATTCCATCTCCTAATAAATGATTGCCATTGTTCCATAAATATATCTATTAATACAAGTGGCATAAAAGAAGTGTTACTCAAGATATTGAGGACGCTTCCTGGATATATTTCAAACAGTATTACTCAAACTGGTTCCAAGACTATATGCATGATTAGAAAGTAGAAATAATTTAATATAGTACCAGTTGGAGTTTGTTCAAGTTAAGTCTCTAAGGAACACACACGAGAAATATTTATCAGAAATTATGGTATGGGCTTCCCTGGTGGCGCAGCGGTTGGGGATCCACCTGCCAATGCAGGGGTCACGGGTTCGAGCTCTGATCCGGGAAGATCCCACATGCCGTGGAGCAACTAAGACCGTGCGCCACAACTACTGAGCCTGCGCTCTAGAGTCTGCGAGACACAACTACTGAAGCCTGTGTGCCGAGCCTAGAGTCTGTGCTCTGCAACAAGAGAAGCCCGAGCACAGCAATGAAGAGTGGCCGTTGCTTGCCACAACTAAAGAAAGCCTGCACTCAGCAACAAAGACCCAATGCAACCAAAATAAAATAAATTTATTAAAAAAAAGGAAATTATGGTATTTAGCAAGTTGTACCTCAAGTTCTTTATTGTGAGCACCCTTTTGCTCTGCTGTATTAAAAAGTAGTAAATTAGGTGGTTAGGAGGCTACATCATTTCTTTAAAATTGAGATTAAATTCACCTACAGTAAAATGCACAGATCTTAAGGATACAGATCAGTATCGACCATTGCATATACCCATATAAACTACACCTGTATCATTTTTTGTTTTTTTCTTAAACTTTTTATTTTGAGATAATTATAGGATCACATGCAGTTGTAATAAATAATACAGAGAGAGCCCTGTACCGTATACTTTTTACCTCAATAGTAACATCTTGTACAATTTTTGTACAATATCAGAACCAGGATATTGACATTGATACAGTGGAGACACAGAACATTTTCATTACCACAAGGAATCCTCACGCTGCCCCTTCATAGCCACACCCACTCCCCTCCCGCCATCACCTCCTCCTTAGCCCCTGACAACCACTCATCTGTTCTCCATTTTTTGTAATTTTGTCACTTGAAGAATGTTATATAAATGAAATGATACAGTATGAAACTGTTTGAGACTGGCTGTTTTCACTCAGTATAATTCTCTGGAGATTCATCCAGGTGGTTGCACATATCAACAGTTTCCCTGGTTAAGAATCTACCTGCCAACGCAGGGGACACAGGTTCGATCCCTGGTCCAGGAAGATCCCACATGCCACGGAGCAACTAAGCCACAGTAGTTGTGAGCCACAACTACTGAGCCTGCGCTCTAGAGACCATGCGCCACAACTACTGAGCCCATGTGCTGCAACGATTGAAGCCCACGTGCCTAGAGCCTGTGCTCTGCAACAAGAGAAGCCACC